GGATGCGGATGTGTGGCCTGGCGGAGCGGGGTGTGGAGAAGGAGATGGGAATGGCTGTGGGGTGCGAGGCTGCAGAGGGCGGTGCGGGCCGGGCCTTCCTCCCCTTCCTCCCCTTCCTCCCCTTCCTCCCCTTCCTCCCCTTCCTCCCCTTCCTCCTCTGGGACAGCGTCGGGGGAGGCAGGGTAGGCCCGGCTGGGTGCGCCCCAGGGCCCGGGCAAGGGCCTCTCTCCTGCTGCTGGGCCGCAGGAGGCAAGGAGAAGGGTTCCGGGCTTGGGAGGGGAGTGAGGAGGAAGAGGAGGGTGTCAAGGGTGCAGGTGTTTCGTCTCCCTGTGAAGGACAGCGAGGGGTGTACCATGCTGAAGCAAGGTGTCCCAGGTGTGCTTGGAATCAAGGTGTTCAGGCAAACCTTTCCTGTGGAGGTGTCTAATAATGTAGAAGAGCCTTACTGTGGTGGGACGCTGACAAAAGCACAGTGTTTGTACCTTCATCATCAGTGTTCGGTTATCCCTGTGGTGAGAAGGCAACAGGTCCTTCATCAGCTGTTACCTGCTCCAGAAGGAAATCTGCTGAATGTAGTAGATTAACAAAGGATGTGAAAGGAGAGGACTGTCCTTGAGTGATGTCAGAAATGCATTCATACTATAGGAAATCTACCTCTGTTATGTTAAACCTGGTAGCATTCTCTCAGGGTTAGATTCTGATGGAATCTGCTGATTAATTTGATTGTTCCCTCTCTCCTCTTCCTCTGTATCCTTCCAGCATCTCCATCACCATCCAAGCATCGAGCAAAAATGGATGACATCGTGGTGGTAGCCCCAGGAACGCAATCCTCTCGAAATGTCAGCAATGACCCAGATGTCATAAAGCTGCAGGAAATTCCAACTTTCCAGCCCCTTTTGAAAGGTGATTGTTCTTCCTCTGTTTTTAAAGGCCTTTTTTTGTACCTGATGAACCACCTGCTTTGTGTGTCCTGAGGTTCCTACTGCAGTTCACATTTCAGTCAATATTTTTCTCTACCCCCTTGTTTTAAACTTCCTTTTGTTCTTTCCTGATTATTCCCAGTCTTTTAAATTGTGGGGGAGCTGGTTTAAAGGTGTGCTGATTATGTTCTTTGCAGTGGAATGATCTGTTGTGGAGACAGGACACCTCCAAGCCTGCCAGCTTGCCCTGTACCACTATCTGATGAAAGATGCTGTGTTACATTCTAATATAGAATGGACTGCAACACTCTAGGATCTTAAAAACTTCTGTGTGTTAATATCTCAGAGTCACGGCCACCTGTGTATGGATTCAATTGCTTGTAAAAAAGGTAGCTTGTGGAGGTTTCCAGCCTAGAGCAGATCTTGTTTTTGGGGGTGGGGGTGTGGGCTGAAACTTGTGTGGGCACTTAAGCCCCGTGTTGACAACATCCCTTTACATCAGTGGACTTCTTACATAGTGTATCTACTGTATCTTTTTTCCTTTATTTTTTTTTCTTTATTTCTTTTCCTCCCACTCTTTTTTTCCTTCTTACCCAGCAGCCATTCTTCCTTCTGTTCTGTTCAAAGGGAAGTGAAGATTTAAATCAAGCCTACTGTTTACCAAAAATGGTGGTCTGGCTTCTAGCTACCTCTTTTCTGCAGACCGGGTGGTATCCTTAGTATCTGAAAAATCCCTTAGGAAGAAAGAGCCCTGTAGCAGCCTGCACAAGTTGATTTGGTAAAAGCAGCCTGCTCATGTGCTCCTCTCTGTGCAACAGTGAGGGTCAGCAAACTTGTGTCAGTGTGCTGTGCAGTGGGCACCTGGTGAACCAATGTTCTTTTGAAAACGTGAGGCCTGCTGTGTGTGCATTGGCTGCAGCACCTGCTTATGCCTTTTAGGTTTATTATGGCAGAGAGGAAGGAGCTGGAATGTTTAGCTCTCCCTGCTACTGGAAGAAATGATGTGGTCTTGTACAGCTGAGGGTTTAGGCACTGCTGGTCTGAGTCTCACTGAGTCATGCGTGGCTACTGGGAAGATGTGGCGGCCACTTGGCCCTGCAGGCATGGCTAGAGGTCACGTAACATCACAGCATCACTTTGTGAACAGCAGCTCTCTACTTTTTTGTGTGTCTACTGCACGAGGACCCTGGAACATGACTAGAAATTGAGGACTCTCTGATAGCCTAACAGACCAATTATTTGGCATTTTATTAGATACTGCTCGATAGGGGTCTGGGTGTGCACAGCGCTGACTGCTGTTTCCAGCAGAAGGGGCAGACAGGGAGGCCACTGTGACTGCTGTTTCCAGCAGAAGGGGCAGACAGATAGGGAGGCCACTAAACTGGAGAAAAGCAAATGTGGATGTTTTTCAGGCTGGTACTACAGTCACTCTTGACCAAGGAGAGCGGGTGTGTTAGTTATATGTTTTGTTTTTTGGGTTTTTTAAAACTTTACAGTGGGTGGTGATGTAGAAATCTGTATTTGATTTATTCTTGACACTTTCACTGCCTTTTTGAATGGACTGCAAGATTGCTGATGTTGGCCCAGTGTTTATGTCAGCAGCAGGCTGGGTAGAAACCAGTACCTGTGTGCAGAAAGTGCTTTGCCTGAGTCCTGCCTTATTCAAATGGCAGAACCAGGATCTTGCCAGTGATAGTTTGGAATGTAAAAGCTGGAACCCAAATCTACCAGAGAAATAAGGAAGTTATAATCTGAGAGACCAAATTTAGATTGTGCATTAACATCTGGCACCAAGATTGTTGTGTACGTGTAAGAGTGTGGTGGCAAAGGGTTTCAGTTCCACCCAGCCTCCAACTGTGGTGAGCAAACTTGGGTTGCGTAAGAGCTATGGAAGTCCTGAGAAGTGAGACTGATGATTGATTGTTTCCAGAGGCTGTGTGCCTGGATGAATAGTTAAGGAGCAGGTGGAAAGTGAGAAAAAAGATAGCAGCAGCCATGTAGCTGAGATAGAACGGTTGGAAGCTACTACTGCCTTAGATGGCCTCTCCAAGTCCTTTAATTGCTAAATATGTGTGGGTTAAGTTGTTTGATGGGAAGTTGTCTTGGCCACTGGGTTGCATTTGCTGGCATTACTTTGGACCTGAAGCTGTGTATGTGTGACAGAAACCTTTTCTATTTCACTTGGCCTGGTAAGAGTTTCATGCAGAGTCTCTTGACATGTGTTGACAGCTGGTGACTGCTCAAGAGTAAATCATGTTTACTTTTGTGAACAGCTTTTTTGGTCTCAAATATTTGTTATTACTTGAGCAACAGGACTGTGATACTTGTGTTCACTGCAGGAAGTACTGTGGTCTGTTGAGTGAGTTGAGTCTTGAGAGGTCCCAGATCTGCCACAGGCCTGCTCGAGAAGCTGTTGTGTTTTGGACTGGTCTCTGTATCCTTCACGTGTAAGGTCATGTCCCTGGAGTGGATGAAGAAGAATACTAGAGATCTTTTAGGAGTCAATCCTAAAATCTGGTGTCTTGTGGTCTAGCAACATGGAGTGCTGTAGATGTGAACTCATAGCCCTTGTAAGCTTCATAATTCTTTTCAGTTTCCTCTTGAGTAAGCAAAGCCAAGGGTGTTTATTTTGCTTGTAAGTCTCGGAAGAAGCCTAATAGCTAAACTGATGGACTGGGGAAGCACGTGATCATGAAGAGACTGTGTGTTCTTGAGAGCCAAAGCACTTAAGAGCCAAAGCACTAGTCTCTCCTAGCCACATTGAGTTGAGTTTGTGATAAATAAAGCTGGAGATATTTAGGGTTGTACACTCTTGCATGGTTGATAATGCCAATTACATCTTTCATCCTAGGTTTTCCTTGACTTCTGCAGCAGAAATTGCACCTCAGAGTTTCATTCTGTAAGGTCCTTCTAAGTAATGGTTGCTGCCTTTGAAGTACTGTTCTTGTTAATGAGCATGCATAACAAGCAGTGCTTGAGAGGTCAGTGTTTCAGCATTGGCTGATTCTAGTGTTTGAACTTTCTGGATGTAGGCATTTGGTGGTGTAGGTGCTGCTGTCTTGAAGTGATTGTGTAGTACCTACTGTGGTGAGTCAAGGACTAGAGCATCTTTTTTCTTAATGCCAGCAACTGTCTTTTCTGGTGCAATATATTCATGTGGACAGAAAGGGGAGTGTCTCACAATGGACTTAGGAAAGCAGTGCACTGGATGCCTGTTGACTGCTATTTGTAAACACCAAATCCTGATTCCACCCAGAGAGGGCAGAAAAGCTACCCTTAGGGTGTACATCTGTGAGTGAAGTACCTGATTGTTCTTCTCCAGAAACTGCTGTGTATTTGGAATGCTTGCATACTTTTTTTTCTGAATGTAAAAAAACCCTTCAATTAGAAATGCTAGCAGGGAACTTAACTGCTTGATGAAACAAGATTATTTTATTTTATTTTATTTTTAATTGGGAGCAAGGTTTATAATCTAGACTCCTAGGAGCAATAGAAGAGGTCTCCAGTCCTCTCCCTGGTTGGAAGTGTTCACTGCAGAGACCTCTTTGTAAGTGATACAGAGCAAAATGTGAAAATGTGTTAGGATGTTTCATTCCTTTGTGCAGCTTCCTCAGGATATTTGCATGAAAGTGAAACTTCTGGCTGTTCAGTGTCCCTGGCTCTTGCAGTCTGTTCATAGTGTGAAGTCATAGCCAGCTGTGTATAATATCAAAGTGATCTTCTCTGAGTAATCCAAAATGATATTACTTCTGTAGTTCATGAACAAAGCAGCCCATCTTACAAAGGTGTTTGGAAAAAGCTAAAAGTGCAATTTTCTCATGATCATGACTACAGAAGGTTGATAAGGTACCACGGTATGTAGTTTCTTTTGGAAAGGCTCTGACTGTGTCTATAAAGTATCACCTCTGACCAGGCATTTAACTTTTAGGACCAGAAGATCCTCATTGGGGATTGAGGACTGCTGGCAAGAGAAGGGATCCACTTGGTGAAGTGTGGTTAGAGCATCTTTACCAACAGGTGGGACAACCTGAAAACAAAAATGTTAAATTAGGAATGATTAGAGTTAAGCAAGGAAGCAGTGAGCCAGGGTTGAAAAGCAAAGGGTGAATGTTCTAGTTTCTGTGACTGTAAGATGGGTGGGCTAAGGAATGAAACATTGTTATAGAACTTCCAAAAAGCTTTTGTAAAGAGTGTTAAGATTTTAAGTTTCTGTTACTAAAACAGAAGGCTCATTGTATTCTTCCAGAGGGCATCATCATCTCTTTCAACCCTCAAAAAGGACTGAGGGCTGTCTTGTGCCAGGCGGATGCCTTCTGGCTTCTCCTCAGCTGATTTTTTTTGGTTGAACATCTGTCTTTTTTAATCCATTTGGTTTGAAGGCCTGTGCTGCAGTCTGTCATGGCTGCTTCCCAGATGGCACTGTAAGGAAGACCTTCCTTTAGATGGGTGTTCTTGTACATTACAGTTAACATACTTGTAACTAAACCAACACCCACGGTAACTTAACCTTTTGGTAACCAGTCTGCTGTAAATACTAGAAATTCTTTTGTGCTGCCATTTTCCTTGCCTTTTCCTCCTCATTTGGAGGAAGCAGTTGCCAATATGGTGGTAGCATCCCTTGGAAGCATAAGTAGTATTGCATGATTCAGGGTGCTATACATACCATAAATTCACTAAATACGGACTTGTAGTTATTTAGAGATAATTCAGCAGCCCCATCTGTGAGCTGACTTATCTGAGGAGGAAATCTTAATTAAAGTGAAAAGTAATTTTTATGCTAGGTATTTCATTGTTGCTGACCCCTGTTTGGCCTGTTGTACAAAACGTCACGATACATGTTTTTGATTGGTTGTTTTTGTTTTATTCTGGCAGTCTAGGCTTGTTGTGTGCAAGTTCCCCTGAGAACAGGGATCATTTGTGCATATTAGGCAGTGTGCTGATACATACCTGGAAATTGTGGCTTATGAAAACAGTTTAGGTATG